ATCAAATTAATTGAATAAATATCATAAAACAATTTCTAAAAATTTTAAACCAAACATATTTTCTAGTTTTTTGTTTTGAGAAATCGTTTTTCAAAATGACGAACCAAATATGTTTTACGTAATTCAAAAATAGTCTTTTAAAATAGAAAACTAAAAATAAATTGAAAATTGAAAACAGAAAACAAAGATGCAAACCAAAAGCATCCTTACTTCTCCGTGCCTTTTTTGAGGAGAAAATGATCCCTAGCTTACGCTTAGAATTCATCAAACGTTAAAAATACTGCAGCTCTTCTGGTACACACTCCGACGCAGCTACGCAGTGAAAGATGGAGTTTCTCCCCTAATAATTGATTTTGAGTTCTCTTGGGGATAAAGAAATTTAAGCTGTAAGTCTTTCAATTTTTTCTCCAATTATTCAATTCACTTGTTTTTGTCTACATTTTTGTAATGTCGTCAATTTTCCTGAAAAAACTGAACATCTCATTTCATAATCTTGAGTTAGATTTGGGTGATTTTTTAATTTTTTTTTTAAATTTTAACTGCAAAAACTTTTAAAATAAATAAATATTGTCCCCCTTCAAATGTACCATTTAATATTTCATATGAATTTAATTTGAGTGCCTAAAGAGGATAATGTTGGATAAATCTTAGTTTAAACTAGAGTATTTTTAGGCTTTATTTTTGTATCTTAGACTGTTACGGGGGTAAATTCGTTAATTCCACCGTATATTTTTGGCTGCTCTAAAGTGTGATCACTTCCAGGGGCGGAGCTACATAGAGGCGAGTGTAGGCATCCGCCTCACCTCATCTGGGATTTCTTACAACAATTGAAGGCAGTGCCTGCATTGGGATTTCTGGAGGATTGGATTTGCTGGAAACTTGAAGGTTGGATGCAGGCCCCAACTCGCCATTGTTGTACTCTTCAAAAGCTTGAACGCAGGCAGAATGGAAGGGGAGGGAAGGGAAGATAAGTTTTTACTTGGGCCAATTTTTAATGTTTTCTAAATTTCAACTTCTAAACCTTTTACGTTGGGCTTTTTATTTATTTTTAACTGAGGCCCATATCCACATCCATAGGCTTTTTGTATTGTGAAATGATTAAGCAGACAAACCAAATTCAGTTATAGTCACTGTGAAATATGGAGATTTAATTCACTAGACATTGTGAAAATATTTATCATTATACTTTAATATTGTTTCTCAATATTTGCTCAATTTAAAAGTTTACTGTTATTGTAGCTTCAATGTTAATATGTTTATAATTTTAAAAGTTTACTGTTATTGTACCTTCAATGTTAATATGTTTATAATTTTAAAAGTTTAAATGTTTACCATTATACTTTAATATTGCATATTGTAAATTTTTGGAGGTTTAGTATTTTATTACTTACAGATGATTCTTGCCGAAATTATGGTCCTGCATCATGAATTTCTAAAAATTGATGACTCCTCCGACTGCTTTGAATTGCACTGCCATCGGCGAAAGTGGGAACCACAGTGAGAAGAAGCAACAACAACCACGGGCATAGGGACTAAAAATCAGACTAAAAAAATCACTATAGTCGATATCTAAAATTGTGCCCGCACTGGATAAAAATTCTGGCTCCGCCCCTGATCACTTCTGTATTTGGAGAAAAGAAAGATGAATAAATTAAAATGTTAAAGGGCAAACTACATTATAAAGATGCATTTGAATTGAAGATTTTTTTTTTTACTTCTAATTTTGTGCTTTCAGAGATCCTGTTTTATTTGTAGAACATGTTTCTAAAAATTCTCTCTTGGTCATGACAACCCTTGGATGCAAGTAGTTAAGAATTTAAGCACCCAGCTGCCTGTTCACAGCATATTTTTGGGTCATAACCCACTGATCACAGTTGGGCATTTTTCAGCCCAAATGGAAGGTTCCAAATGTCGCCTCTCATGCTTTTGCTCTACACTAATTCCTTTTTGCTTTGCTCGGCCATTTTTTTTTTTTTTTTTTTGGGGGGGGGGGGGAGGGGGGGAGTTAGTCCGATTCCTTGAATACGAGAGAGAAATATATTTAATATAGAGAAAAACAATGTAAAATTAATTAAGATGGTAAAAGTTAATAATTAAATAGATTCCTAAATCCTTCAAATTCCCAAGTATCATTGGAAAAACATTACCTAATCCAACAATTGTACTCTTTGTAGAAACCACAAAGAGAACAAGAAAAACTATGTTGCTAGGCTCAATTTTTTTCCTCTAGAAACGCTTAGTGAAGTGCCCAAAAAGAGAGAAGGAAGACATGAATTCATAATGAATGTATGCTAAAAGCTTGACCTAAAATTGCTTCAATGTTTCGGACGCCCAAGTTAATTATTTCACCAAATTCCTTGCCATTTTAGACTCTGAAGATCTTTTGGCATCCCCTGCAAAAAAAAAAAATGGAAGTTTGATCACATTAGTCCCTTGATTTAGGTGAGATTCACTCCGCCTATTTTGAAAGTTGTAGCAAGTTGCTTCCTATATAGAAGAGGTCCATTCCGCTCGTGTTGAAAGTACTCTATTTCTTATTAAGGTGAGATTCATTCCGTCGTCAAGTAGTCTAAGGTGGAACGTCGCTTGGCTCTGAGCATGCAAGGGCTAAGCTCTTTCAGCCAATTTTGTAGCTACATCCTCCATATATTCAACGCAAGGTCCCTCAACTTTAGTTTAGTACATTTTGGCCCTCAAATTTCTTTTAATTTGGTCCTCAATAAATTACATCCAAGGTCCTTCAACTTTCAAATCTTTACATCTTGGTCCGCAACTGCATGTTTTGTGCAGCTTTAATCCATTTTCTCTTCTTTTGCTTTATTCTTCTTCAATTTAGTCTTTCACCTACAAAAGCCATAATTATAAAATCAAACACACCTACAAAAGCCATAATTATAAAATCAAACAGTCATGGAATAAGAATCAACATTGTTAGACAAATATGCCTCCAAATTGTATAATCAATTCGCAAATATGCCTCCAAACAGTACTACCAAAAATAATTAGGCTTATCCAATGCTTTTTCACTATGTGTGGGCATATCCATTTTCAATCATCCCGTAGACTCGAAAAAAGTTGTAAAGAAGGAAAAATTTTCAAATTGGTTTCAACCTGACATGAGTTGTCATTTCTTTCCTTTTCCACTCTTGAGATTCACATCTCTCAACTAAATACTTTCTTTCACTGGGTGTAAAGCTAGAGGTTGTTTTCAAGCTATTCTTTTCTTTTCTCGCTCTAGTTTGGTTGGACCTAATTTACAATGTCAATAATCTATCCATGTGGTGATTCTTCACTAGATGAGTGATTTGACATTTAAGTATATGCTAAATAATTCAAACCACTGGTTATGTAAGCCTAAAATTCGATTGTAGATACATAATTTTCTTGCAAAATAATATTAAGTTTTCTTTTTGACCCTTATAGCGAGCTTTAAGTCAATAACTTCTCTTTTTTTAGACGAAAAGGCACCAGCTTTCAAGATATCCCTACATACTTACTACTCGAGTCAAAAAGCCTACACACACACACACACATACTTGGGCTTCGATCCCTAACACATGGAAATTACCTACTTGTTAGCAAAAGACACTGCACACAAATATGATCACATGCATAGAATAAATGCATTTATCGATGATATCCTTCACTAGCTCGACCATCCCAAACTTATCTTCCAATATGGTTAATTGAAAGAGAAGAATGTAGGATTGATAGAAATTTATACCCCTTACAACCTAGTTCTACAAATTCAAAAAAATCTCTCCAATAATCAGTAATTTCTAAATCTAGACAATAATTGATTGTGACTATTGTGCTCAAAATAACTTAAAATCTCACATGGACCAACAATTTTTTTAACATATTTGGTTATATCTTATGAATTAATAACAATTTTAAACATCAAAACATCCTTAGCTGGCAATGCTATCTAACATGTCATACACAATCAATGCAAAGTAAGCAATCACTCCAAACTTGAATCACACCTTGTCATCAATGTGTAAAAGAACAAAATAAAAGATGAATGGTGTAACGACCTGGCCTCAATGCCCAAACTGTAATATCATGCGTACTATCCGCTTAGGATGGATATCTACCCACTTCCTCCTTCTCGGCTTTCTATTGCATCCCAAAACCTCTGCCCAATAAGAGACTTAAGTTAAATTCTGGTACTTCGAGTGCTACTAAAATCGTACCTTGAACATCAAATTGCACTTTCAAAAGCTTGAAATTAATTTAAATAGTATCATGAAAAATAAGAGTGAATGCATAACTTGAAAATCCAAATAAAAGAAAATAATAGAAGTATTAATAAAGTTCTTAATTAAATAAAAGCTTTGTAGGTCTCTTGTACCTGCCACTTTGCTACCCATCTTATGCTTTGATTGCCACGAACCATCAATTTCTTAAGAGGGGATAAAGAGGGTGTGATAAAATCTCAATATGCATATGAGTACATGGATTAATATTGTATGGAATTTAAGGAACTTCATATATACCTAGTGAGACATAAAAATCTATACCAAAAAATAGGTGGTATGAAATTTACATGTGTTAGCAAACGTTTTAAAGAGCTAAACTACATGTTAACTAATGATAGGACTAGCAAGTTTTAATAACGTGAAGCCTTAAAATCTACGTTGAACATAAACAGCCAGTCACTATACTTAGTACTTCCACCAACCATTACACATCAAGTGGAAATCGTCATCAACGCACGCATAATTAAGATTTTAATGCATAGGTTTTCAACCAATGAATGAGGAACATGTGTACTAGTGAATAAAATATGATAAGTTGACATATTCAGTTAGAAATGCACTAATCAAAAGTTAACACGTGTCCCCGACAGAAAGGACTCAATTGTACACGTAACATTATTAGAAATCAATAAATATAGATAATTGAAAACAAACAAAAAAATTTATGTAAATTTGAATATCCTCATTTCAAATAACTCTCTCTCCTTATACTCTGTGAATTTAGAAGGAGAAAATTATGGTTAAGTGAATAAAATTTGTTAATCTCATTTCAAGGTCAATATCTTAAAATTAAAATCAAGGGAAGAGATCCTATTTGAAAAAAGCTCCTTGTACACGCTTATTTGCACATGCCTGCAGCTCTATGGTCTGGTCTGTGCTGCAGGCCCTGTGCAAAATGAACTTGTGCAGGTAGCACAGCCGATCCTATTTTCCATCCATGTACCAATTTTTATTCCAAGATGCAATGCAAGACTGGACCAGGATGAGGTGCTTGCCATCCTTTGTGAGAGTGAATTTTCGAGCCAGAGTCCAAGCAAGAGCCAACGCTTATCTTGGATCTGAATTTCCCACCAATAACAAAACACTTGCACGAGTCAGAATTCAAACGTGGCCCAAATTCTCCAATAGAAAAACGGCAAACCCACGAATCCGCAGCTTGTCTGGTCTTTTTTCATTGTCCCTTGTGCGAGCAAAGATGAAATCGACCATTGACCCTGAGATTTAGAGCTCACTACCCCTTCTGTCTCTCAATTCATTTCGTTGACAAATATCCAAGAAACCTATATCCGTTCTTTCATCAATTATTCCGTAAGTCTCTCTCCCTCCCTCCCTCCCTCCCTTCGATTTGATTTTAAATGTGTATGTACGTATAGGGCACTCATAAAAATGGATAGTAATTATTCAGCTATTCCTAAATATCAGTACGTTGAATTACATGCGAAAGATGGATTGGGATCAAAAAGTACATCCTTGAGATTGTCTTCTCCTGATAATGAAAATGGGTATCTAAATCTACAAAATGCTTATGATTTAGACGTTGAAGATGGTGTTGATTTTGATGATTTACCCCTTATTTTTGGTAAAAGTGAATCTGGGTCTGGGATTTATGGTGCTATTTTTAATCTCACCACCTCTATAATTGGGGCAGGCATTATGGCCTTGCCTGCCACAATGAAGGTTTTGGGCTTGGTTTTAGGTGTAATTTTGATATTCTTGATGGGTATTTTGTCAGAGATAAGTGTTGAGTTGCTTGTTCGATTTTCAGTCCAATGTAATGCATTGTCGTATGGGGAGGTTGTTCAGGCTGCATTGGGGAGGACAGCTAGGATTTTATCGGAAATTTGCATAATTGTGAATAATGCTGGGGTATTGGTCGTGTATTTGATCATAATTGGGGATGTTATGTCCGGGTCAATCCGTCATGTCGGGGTTGCTGATCAATTGTTGGGTCATGGTGTGTGGGATCATAGGAAGCTAGTAATTCTGGTTGTGATGGTGCTTTTTCTTGCTCCACTCTGTTCTTTGGATAAGATTGATTCGTTGAGCATGACATCTGCTGCTTCTGTAGCACTTGCAGTGCTGTTTGTTTTTGTTGCATTTGTAATAGCCACTATTAAGCTTGTTGAAGGGAAAATTGAGGCTCCGAGGATGGCACCGGATTTTGGTTCCAAGCAGGCTATTTTGGATCTGCTAGTGGTGATTCCTATCATGTCAAATGCTTATGTTTGTCACTTTAATGTTCAACCTATTTATAATGAGCTTGAAGGACGGTCACCTCACAAAATGTACAGAGTGGGGAGGATGACAACTGTTATCTGTGTTTTGGTGTATGCTTCAACTGCCATAGCAGGCTATTTACTCTTTGGAAAGGATACTGAATCTGATGTGCTAACTAATTTTGATAAGGATCTTGGAATTCGTTTCAGCACTGCTTTAAACTACATTGTCCGCATTGGATATGTTTTCCATTTGGTTCTTGTGTTCCCTGTTATTCATTTCTCCTTAAGACAAACAGTGGATACCTTGCTCTTTGAAGGACTCAATCCCCTCTCAGAAAGCAAGAAAAGGTGTATGGTCCTAACTGTGGTGCTCTTAGGACTTATATATTTGGGCTCCACTATGATCCCCAACATTTGGACTGCATTTAAGTTTACTGGAGCGACCACAGCTGTTTCCTTGGGTTTCACATTTCCTTCTCTCATTGCATTGAGGCTAAGCAAAGAAGGGAACGGATTGAGCCACTGGGAGCGATTCTTGTCTTGGTTGATGTTGACATTAGCAATCATTGTTAGCCTCGTTGGAGTGATTGGCAATATATATAGCATACAAAGCCAGTCTAAATGACCCTCTGTACTTCTAGGATTTGTTGTACAAGGATAAAATTTTGTGGGATAATATCATAGCGAAGAATGTTTAGAATTTTCCTTCTTGTCTTTGTTTGCTATCATAAAATATTAGCACAAGTGATGCTATCTGTACCATATGTGCCAACTTGTAGTGATTCTTGTCAGCTAGATGGAGGAAAGAAAAAAGCCAGAGTCTGGGAATATTTTGGATTACGATATCCATATGAGCCTCCCACAGTTTACTTTGGCTTTCAGAGATTGGTTGTCTTGGAAGAGTGCTAATTGAAAAATTAGGCTCCACGAATTGTAAGTTGTTGTTTACTGATTCATGTACCAGTCACATAAATGGATGCATTATGTTCTCCGAATTTTTTGATTTCTAGTTTAAAACTAATTGAACAGTATTTTTTTTCCCTCCCTTCTAGATGTACAAACTCTATTATTTAATATAAAAATCATAGTGCTATTTATATGCATTTTTATGTGTATATTCTAGTTATGCAGGCATGTGTTGGGCTTGACCAATCCTACTATAGTCTATTATGTCATTTCCATTCATAATTCTGGTCCTGGTACAGTATAATTATTTTACTTTTTTAGTTCCCTTGAACATTTTTCCAAAGAGCTTAACGTAGAATTCAGCAATCAGCATAACGATGATATGGCTTTTATGTCAACTATGTGTGATTCTTGGTACGATATTCTTTTTCTCATTTTTCAGCATGAACAGATTGCTGCTGAGTTGGAAAAAGTTACTTCTGGTCTCGGTTTTCATGTTTTTCTGAATGTTCCAAAAATTAATATCTTTGTCCCTTATTTTTTTTGTACAGTTTTCATATAAATGTGTTCTATTGGCTTTGTTTGTGGGGAAATTTTTTTCCTAGGATATGATAACTGAAATTGCAGTAAGGCAGTTTTGTTTAATAGAATAGAATTCTACAACCTGCAAGTAACCTCTAGATTATGTACCATAGAACAAGCGATCCAGAGATGCTCAGGGAGGAGTTTAAATTGTCAGAATTTTCAAGGACTACTTTAAAATCCAAAAGTTCTAGGCTAAGTAGAACTTAGGAGTACATGGAATTCCATTTAGTAATGTTAGGAACATAGTTGATCACTGGGGAAGAAAAATTATACCGGTTAACTTCGGGGTACATTTTTTGCTGTGATTGTATTGTCCTGAAGAACGATAGTATTAGGTATATGGATTCTATTAAGCTTGAAGAGGGTACTATGCATAAAATTAGAACTGGTGAGATGAAATGGAGTGTTGCTAAAATGGAATGACAACTTGGGTAGTCGGGGTAAGTCTTGCATTGACCAAGCAAGCTCTAAATTGATGGATTAGAACAGGGCAGAGGTTGACCAAATTAACAAGGCTTCTTGTGCTTGCGAAGGAGCTAATTTCACTAAATATTCTTGTAGAAATAGTTGGGATCTATAGTGAGTAGAACAGGCGATTGCTTTTAAAAAAAAAAAAAAAAATAACGGCGAAATTGTTCGGAAACGAGACCGTCGAAAGGCACGACGATGCAGGACGGAGGGCATGCGTGGCATTGCAGTAAGTGCTCACGACTGGGACCGTTATCGCACTGCAAACTTCGGCGGCACGATTCGGCCAAAAAAACCCACAACACTCTCTGCTATTCTTGAAGATGTGGCTACTTTTGCTATTCTTTTTCTCAATTGCATTGCATGCGCGTCGTCTTCCCTATAGATTAAATGTGGCCTTTAATTTACCTAGCTAGTGTTTACTATTTCATGAGGATTATGTGGAAACTATATTTCAATGTTATCTATAATTCTAGCAAGAAAGTAGATTTTGTAGTTTGCTAATACAACAAATAGTTTGCAAAGTTGTTACCTTTTTGTTTGGGATTCTATATTGGTTTCGTAACATGATCGGCTCTACCTTCATTTTAGAATGTTCATGTTGAAACCAATTTTTTTTTTTTTTTTTTTTTTTTTTTTTTTTTTTTTTTTTTTTTTTTTTTTTTTTTTTTTTTTTTTTTTTTTTTTTTTTTTTTTTTTTTTTTTTTTTTTTTTTTTTTAAGGTCAACTGAATAACTTGTGTGAACTTTTTAGGCTATTCTAGGTCGAAGTGTATGTTCAATCTCTTTTCGAGAAATAAGTTGGCTGTTTTGAATCATTGATTCTTTCCATAAATATCGATGTTCAATCCATTTTGTTATCCTCAACAGCAATTTCTGCCTTCTATCAATTTTGATTAATGTTGGTCAATACCCGTGCAAGGAGAATAATCAAGTGATGATCTCTGTTTGACATTCTCTTCCGTTGATGGCTCGGCAATAGGCTTGGAAATTTTGACTGAAATCGAACCTCCCAAACCGAAATTCCACTTCCAGCTCCAAAAAAATAAAAAAATAAAAAATAAAAATAAAATTAGGAATTGAGAACCGATTGGAACCCAAGTTCGTTCTTCGTTTTTGAGCCAGAACTATGATTACTCGAATGGAATTGATTTTTTTATATAATTTTTTTATCTTTCACAATATATAGCTTGGGTAAAAAAAAAAAAAAAAAAAATCTAAAAACTCTAATTTGGGTCGTAATGTATAAGAACTCTAGAATCTAATGCTAAGAAATCAAGATTGTTTCCACTTTTTTGTCTCTCGCGTCACATTGGACTACTGCATTACAACGGTTAGTACGTGTTAATCTTTGTAATTTGGATTTTCTATGAATTAAAGAGTTCAAACAAGGGTTGTGTTGTAAATTGATGAATCGAAGCGTTTGTTCTTGTAAATTGATGAATCGAAGCGTTTGTTCTTTGCAATTTAGGCTTTTAATTCTCTAGCATTGTTATAAATCCAATTGATTTTTTCTTTTCCATTTTTATTTTTTTTATTATTATTTTTTAAATACATTGCAATTGAACTTGATATATTCATAGTTTGGGCTTTAGTGTAGCTTTTTGCTTATCTTGGGCTCATGGTTATCTTGTGAATTGTAATTTTTTATTTTTTACTCCAATAAAGCAAGTTCAATATGTTGACTACAATTTTTTTTATTTTTTTTTATGCTTAGTAATTATGTATCTGATTAGTTTATTTTTTTTTTTTTTTTTTTTTTTTTTTTTTTTTTTTTTTTTTTTTTTTTTTTTTTTTTTTTTTTTTTTTTTTTTTTTTATGTCAGTTCATTTTTAGAGTAGAAAATTTTAAGTATTCTCCATAATAAAATTATAGGTTCTAGCATGCGCAGTCATGGACTCATGGATCAAATAAGATTTTACAAAAATAAAAAAATAAAAAAATTCATTTGTTCTCAAAATATAAGTTAATTTTTTATGCATTAATTTTTTCCTCTTTTATTGGTTTTTAGTCTAAGTCATGTAGCTGAATTTTTGAGCTTGATTTTCTTAAATGCACAAATATTGTCGAGTTGTATATAGATTATGAGTATAATCGAACCCAAATTGAAATTGACGGTTTAAGTTTGGCTTTGGTTCCAATAATTACAAGGATCAAAATGATTTCATTTACAAGATACTCGAATCGAAGTATAATGGGTGATTTTGGGTATTGAAATAGTTGGAATTTTCACCCAACGTCCAAACCTAACTAGGAGGCTCAAAATAGGCTTTCAATAATCACAATATCTTTATTGAAAAATTTACAAGAAAACCACTATATATGTTGTAGTTTGTTAACTTTTCTTAGTTTTCGAAGACCTAACATGTTTTTCCTTTAACATGAGAAATAATTTCAAACGCATGTGTAATTGTATCGTGTATAAAAATTTGAACTTACGTGTAAAATATTTTATTGTGAGAATGTGTGGATGAAAATGAGTTTGAAAAAAAAAAAAAAGTTTCAAACTGGGGGCTAAATATATCTTTCCCACTACCCGGAGTTTCAATACTCTCGAGCGAAGCATTGCTTGGTCAATTTTCATTGTAATAAATTAATCATTGTGAAGTGATAAAGCTTTGAACTACGGGTTAGTTTCATTATGATTTATGCTATTGCACTTTGCATTTAATATCACTTTGGCTGGTGAATTTAATTTCTTTCAAACTATTTTTTTGCCTCTATTTTCTTTTATAGGGGAATTTTACATACGGAATGGATTTGAATCATTATTTTTTAACTCTTTCTTTATCCGATAGATGATTCCAAAAAACAAAAAATAAACAAGTTGAGAAATTATAATAGTAAACCACGATCGTGTCTATGGAATCAATGGTTTATACATTCCTCTTAGTATATATATATATATTGGCTATCTTTTTTTGAGAACCGCCTAAAATTCCAACTAAAAAAGTGAAATGATTTTGCATTATGTTAATTGAAATAATGAGCATCCCAAAACATTAAAAAAAAAAAAAAAAAAGGAAGTATTGTTGCACATACAGGGAAACTTTCACAGAATTCATACAAGGGAACAGTTGGCACAATTTCATTAGCAGTTGGCAAGAAAAAAGAAAACATTTGCAAATCAGGTGCTGCATTGTAGAAATTCAGTGAAGAATTTCCCTCTACTTGGGGAATTTTCCTTAGAAAAAATTAAAAATCCTATATGGACTAATGATATAACAATTTGGCACATGTACACGATAACGAACGGGCTAAAAGCTAACGTAGTGGTATGACTGAAGTATTTTGAAAAGTTGAGTGGTCAAAGTGACACAAAGTATAAAGTTGGTAGTGATTATTAAAATTAACTCAATAATCACCCATAAGCCGTGGCTTTTAGCCACGATTTGGGACTGAGGATGCAGAAAAGATTTAAAAAGAATCTACTTTACTTGGTTAATACAAAAGGCAAACAATTTACTTGATTTAAATTTGTGTTAGGTTTTCCCTTCCATCATGACTAACTAATTTTCAATTGTTCAATGATGCAACTTATATCTCAGCATAGTTGAATAATTAATAGCGTTGAAATGTATTATAATATAATTATTAGCCCCTAAACGGCTTCTATAACACTACTTCATAATTAGCGATTAGCTTGAATAGATATTCTTGACATTTCAGCACGTCACTTCTTCTTAGTAAATGTGTATACAAATGGTACCTCAAAACATTACACATCAACTTCTTCCTATTTGTTAAGAAAATGTAACGTGTCGAAGTGTAAAAAAGATATCAATCATGCTATGGGTACATTGTGGTATCCAATGGGGTGTCCAAAATGGACACCAATGCCGAGGGTGTCCAAATGTTCACCCTTAATGGACACCCTTTTGAACACCTCAGTGTACCATAAGCATTATTCAAAAGATATTAGGACGACAGTCCATTAATAGCTCCATAAGTACGTGGCATTTTTCTCGATTCCACCATTTTTCTTATTCCGAGTGCAGTATTAGCATCACTTTCGATAATTAAAAATCATCGATAGCGATCAGATAATGTTAATGAATCACAATTAATTGTTCAAAAAATTGTTTAACATCCAAACGTCCATGCAACGTCATAGTTTACATATGGAAGCGAAATTGCCTAGTTTTGTTTATGGATGCGCATGCCGATATCAAAGGGGTGACGAAAGCAGCAGAAGCATGTTTAAATGGGAGCAGAGCTACTTTTACTTATTTACTTGGAAGGCCAATGGTATTGATTCCTTTCTATGTGAAGGAAACTATTCAAATACAATGATGCCATGTTTGACAATGGCACTAATTAAGTAAAAAAGAGTTAAAATATTGTTTATTATTCTTAGAATAGACTGTCATCATATTTTGAATCCATGAAATATGTCTAAATTAAAATATGTAATGTCCTCTGAACAATGATCGACAAATTCCTTTCACCTAGTTAGGATTTTTCCCTCATATTCTCATTATTCTGCTGCTCAATAGGGATTAAGAGCAAACATGGATACGTAGAAGAAAATTGTTTCAAATCCAGTTCGATATTTTTTTGTCCTAGACATGTAAATTAGTCTGTTTTGGTCAATGACATGTGGCAACCTTTGATTGAATGCCTTCTAATTCATTCTATCATCTTGTTTACGTTTCTTTGACCAACATAATCCTTACGTTTTCGCTCAAGTATATTGGATAGCATCATGTATCTAAGGTTTCTCCCTTCTAAGTGCTTTCTAGCTCATTTTGGTTTCACGTGTACATTTAGCTTCTTCAGAGCGATTGCTCAGATGAATATTTCATTTATAAATAGGGAGTCGAAATGAATTGGTTAGCCTCGATTGACTTGGCTATTGCTAGACCTAGATCAGGTCCACAATGGGCTAGACACAAGCTTGTTTAATAATTCAAAATTTTGACCAGTAAACAAGCCTAAGCATGGGCAGTGATAGGGGATGAATTCCAAGACGAAGAAAGATAAAGATTGAAATACTCCTCTTAACAAGATTAACTTTTAAAACAGAATATTAATTTTTGTTACTTTATCAAAGCCTACTAAACTCAACGAGCAATTTGATTCAACTAAATCTCAAATAAGCACATGAATAATAAGATTGGTGTAGTGATTGAAACACCTTCCCCGCCTCTCTGGGCAATTTCGCTTGCTAGTCCTGCTAGTATCTCTGCCTGAGATTGAGTTGAGATCCCCGTCACATCGTTTATAGTCCTATTTCATTTTTCATTTTTATTTTTTATCAAATTTTTTGTTTTCAAATGTACATGGATGCTAGATTGGCTTGAATGATATGATAATAAGCCTTTGTCCGATAATTTCTTTTTTCTCCTTTCTCAATTTGTATAATAGAAACAGTTTTTTTTATTTATTTTTATTTTTTATTTTTATTATTATTTGGGCTGTCTCTAGGTAGAGAATTAAGCCACAATAAAAAAGAATATTTTATAGGAGATCAAAAATTGTGCAAAAAATGTAGAAGAGAAATAATATTTCTAGCCAAAAATGTGATTCTTAAAAAATTAGCCCCCGTTTGTTTCTCATTTTTGGAAGAATGAGAATGAAAAATATAGTCGTTATGGGTCCCACACTAAAGAAAGAAATTCAAATTTAATGGTTTGATGTGATGGATAACGGTCATATTTTTCATTTTAATGAGGAAAATATCAGAACCAAACAAGAGCAATATTAGAATTTAGCAAGAAAAAAAATAGTGGATCAAATGAAGAGAAAGACAGCTTAACAACTCTTTTGTTTGACTTTTAGGGAAAATTACATGAGAAATTGTAACTATTTGTCGAATTTGATTTTCATTGTTAAAACGAGGAATCAAAGAACCGGCCAATTTGTTTGAAACCCACCCACCGTCGTTTACCACCCCTTTTACAACAACCGATGATGAGAATATTAACCAACATTTCAAAACTTAACTACTTCTTTGAAAGCGGTAACCTTTTAAAATGGTACCTTAAGTCTTAATACACCAGTCGCTCTTTTTAATTTTATTTACAATTATAATGCAGTTTAAATTAAACCACAATAAAAAAGAACGTTTCGCAGTATATGGAAAATTGTGCAAAAAATGTAGAAGAGAAACAAATATTTCGAGCCAAAATTTTGATTCTTTTTTAGGGAAAAAAAGTGGATCAAGAAGTGAAAGACAACTTAAAAGGTAAATTATTTTACTCTTAGGAAAATTACATGAAAATCTGTAACAATTTGTCAAATACCACTTTGTTCAAATTTTTTAAATTTAGAAAATACTGTATCAAAAATGAGAAATTAAAGAAACGACTAATTTGTTCCAAACCAACCCACCATCTTTTACCATCCCCATCTATTCTTTTCACCATCCCTTCTACAACCACTGTCGTCTTCTTTGTTTTCCTCCACAGCAAGTTGTGACTTCTTCTATCGATCATGTTTAATGATGGTGAATGTCACTTGAAAAGAGAATAATGAAGTGACGATGTTTCCATCGGCGGGTTACATTCTCTTTTGTTGATGGTGCAAAATGTGTTTAACATACTCTACCACAAATGGTGGTGGCGACGGTGGGAACATGTGGCGAAGCATGTGTAATGTAACGCTTTGTGTTTACAAAATTTACCAAGAAAATGTCGCAATCAACGGGTATATAAAGATTAAAATGTTCAAATTGGAATAAGTCTCCAATAAGAATGTCACTTCAAGCACAATAAATGCATAATGAAGAGTTATGATCTTTTGATAGGGTGTGATAGATATCGGTAGATCATGTCTCAATTAGAAATAATGCAATCTAATGGAACGAATGAATTTGTGCCAAAAGATGTAGTCAGTCATTCCTAAAAGACTTATTGAATGTATAAAACAAATCTAGTTCATTCAATTTTCTTCGTTCTAAATCGCTCAATTAACTTGATTTTTAATTCCCTCCTACTCCAAATAATGTCAAAATAAATTTCAACTTAAATTAAAGTTTAGTGTTCGTCTTTGTAGTATTTAATATCATTAGGTCTAGAAGAATACATTAAAGTTTTTTGTTCATTCGAAGAAACTAATATTGTGTTATATTAACGTTGGAAGAAGCGTTGTATCTTGGGAGATATACATCCATTTGATCATGTTAGTACTAGTGCAGGGGCAAAATTTATCATAAGAAAATTTGCAATCACATATCTTGCTTCATTTTATTTCCTTCGAATTTATGCATTTTCAGCAATCTAGTCATTATTTGCTCATTCTTATGCACGTATCATGATTTCGATAAGTCGTAACTCTATCCGATAAATTGTATGTTTATAGAATATAAATCCTACACATATTTTTAGTTAAAGAATATAATTTATGCACATATCATTTACCAACAATAAATAATTAAAAAAAACATTTTGAAAAAAGTTTTAAGTGTATTGAGAGTTAGCCTCGTTTTTAGTGTTATTTGTGAAATGTTCCCATACTTTAATATTTTAATTTTTCAGTAATTTTTCAAACTTGGCCATGGGTCATCGGGCTTAACAATTAAGTCTGACATGACTCGTTTATTATGGTAGATCAACTCGTAACTGATTTCAAATTGAACAAGTGTGTTTTAATCCAGTCTTTTAGGGGTTAAGTTGTACATACTTGGGCGATCGGCACCCCATTTTGACACCACTAACTTAACATCTAAGGGAAAATGCCATGTTCCATACAACAAAAACAAAAGGAGATGCGGCGTAGCCTCTTAGTGTGTGATTCATGGATTTCTTTTCCAAGCCTTGATTGAGGGCAAGTTTTATTAGTTCTTTCTCATATGTTTTGATTCACATTTAGCTGATTTTTGGCCTTAGAGTCCCCACATCCCTTTTCTTATGTTAGTCGCTCTCAAGTTTCAACTACCATCCCACTAAAGTCAAGTCACAATAAGCAAAAAAATGAAAGTCAATTTATCTCTTTAACTACTTTATATATGCATATACATGTACAAACGTCCTCATTTCATTTCACACACAACATATAGGCCATGGACTGGTTTTCTTGGCTCTCAAAAACAGGGCTAGAGCCCTCCCTTGTTTATGAGTATGGATTAGCTTTTTCTCACAACGAGCTCGAAGAAGAAGATATAGCTTACTTCAATCATGAGTTCCTTCAAAGCATGGGAATTTCGATAGCCAAACATAGGCTAGAAATTCTCAAGCTTGCTAGAAGAGAAAAAAGTAACATACCACATTCCATGTCAATGCTTTTTATAGCTATCAAGAGGACAAGGAAGTGTTTTTCTAAGTATTTTCGCGCATGGAACCGAAATGAGGACTCTTCTCTCGTGCTCGTGCCAAGGTGTAGCGATAACGCAGGATGGAAGAACGCTATGGTCAAGAGGAACAAGAGATTGATGGCAACTAAACAAAGTAGAGGAACACCACTTTTTCTCACAAACGGTAGTCCTATGTTGATGCATAGTTCGCGTATTAATAGCTTTTTGAACCCCATAAATATGACGGTGCATGATCTTCGCAACGATGATAAGAAAATGCTTCATCAAGATCATGAAGAATATTGGTCATCTGCTGTTGAAGAGATGAGGTGGGATACAATGTTTCACAGCTTGAAACCAACTTAATTTCTTGGATCATTGTGTCAATTTGAATGGTGAGAGATGGTTTTTTTAGTTAGGCACTTTCACCATATGCTTTGGCTTTGGCTGTTTTAGAGATTGATTCCTTTTTCCTTTTTCATAGAGCATGTTTGACTTAACTTTTATGCTACAAACGAAGTCTGTGTTTCGACTGTAAGAAGTGTCAATTGATAGAAATTCAAAATTTAGTCAATTTTGAGCAAAAAAAAGTCACTTCCTTGCATTCGTGTACAAACTAGTGCAAACGAAGTACCACGAATATCTCGATAAGTAAATCCGTTTTCATCAACCAGCGGTGCGAGGAGAAGTTTGTTTGGTGTAGAAAGAAGCAAGCCACATGCTGTTAGTGGTGGGTGATGAGTGATGAGTGATGGGTGGGTCATCCCACTTCATAACAATTAGGGTCTTTATAGCAATAATGAATAACGATACTCTGTCCCCTTTAAAGATTCCTCTTGTACACTTCGTGATTCTTACTCAAAATTTAGGGACATTTGATTTGCTTTTTCAATTTTCAATTTTGTAAAGCACTCAAAAATTGTTTGATTTGATATTTTTTTTTAAATGTGTTTTTAAAATAAGATTATAACATAAAATTCGTAACACATTTTTGACATTTGAAATAAAGTCGTTCAATTCCTTCTTTCAATGGCAAAGTAAAATATAAAACTCACCCAAAGGCAAAAAAATTCGTCATGTCACTGGTATTTAACATAAATTAAGCACCAATGTTTAATATATATACACCCTACCTCCTTTCACTGCCACCACACTCTCCCTCTCCCTTTCCCTTCTCCTTCTCCTTCCACTCCACCACCACCACCATCACCCCACCCACCGTATCTCTTGTCCAACCCTCTGTCCACGTCGTCCATACCACCACGGTCAATGTAGAGCCCAAACTTTGATCCCTACGAACTCAAAATTTCAAAACTAAAATAGTAGAACTTAATTTCAGAGCTCAAATTAGAGACTACAAAGATGTACATAACCACAATACCAAAAAGGTGGTGACGTGGCATGAAATTGTATTGTTCTATTCTAGGTCGACATCATCTTTTTTTATTTTTTATTTTTATGTTTTATTTTTTACCAAGTCAATGTATTTTATTTTTGTTGTGGGAATAAATAGTGTAAAATTCTTCGGCTTTAAATTGCATCTATTACCTGATAATATTTTAACATAAAATTGTTCTATTTTACCGAATAATCAAATTTACTGAATAAATGTCATCTAACAATTTCAAAAAATTCTAAATCAATCGTAATTTTCAGTTTTCTATCTTAATAAACAAATTTTCATAATGAGAAATCAAATGCGATTTCTGCAGTATCTGACAATCAAAACAAAAAATTGAAAATGAATTCAAACACATCCTTTGTTACTTTTTGTAATTAATTAAAGTAACACATTATCTTAGTATTCAACTAAAGAGACAAAACTTAATTATTAAAAGCAATGAGTTGTTAGTTAAAATAATTCAATAATGGGTATATCTGAGTGGAGCATGTGTTGCTGAAAATTCAAGTCCTGTTTATGAGAGTGCATGCTGATCTTTTCACGCTTTTGGGAAAAGTTTAATGATAAAATGTAAGGCAGTTATTTGCACACTATTTAGTAAGTTAAATAAAATTGCTTAACTCACAACCATCGTGTAATGGATCTTCCATGTAATTGTGTATGGCATGTCAATTTACCACAATCATACGTCATTAAAGTATTAAAATAAAACAAACTTTTTGATAATTTATCTAAAACATTGTCATAACCCTCGTTTTACCATTTTTGTTTCTTTGCCACGTACGTGGTTGAGCATCGATTGTGGTATGATTGTGAACTAAGCAAATTTTGTTAGTGTGGTCGATGATAGATGATTAAATGTGCCAGACTAATGTGACAGATTGATGAAATTTGAAAACATTTTGAAGATAATTAATTCAACTGTATGAGTTGCCACATACGATGACTATTGCAGTCATTGATTGTGAATAGTGTTGGAAAATAATCAGTTGCAGTAATGTGCAGAACAGTAAAATGTATAAATAAGATTTATCGTTTGATCGAATCTCGTGATAGCACGATGTCCTAAAGTGAAATTGCCCGTCAATAACTGTTGCGACCTCTGTGGACAATCATTCATAAGATACAATGATCATAAACCATTTGTACAGTAACCACGAATGGTTTCTCAGAACCCTCAAGTGTACTTCAGGATATATGTAAAAAATAAAAAATAAAAAAAAATAATAATTCTAAATATGAGAAATAAGATTTCGTTTCAGATGATTTTCTATTTTCTTTTATGTGTGTTTTTTTGCCAAAACGAGATATATGAGTCTATAGACAAATTGGATGTAACTGCATTTTCTATGATCCAGAAAAACATGCAAAATTTAATGACTTTGCGGGTTCTTAAAAAACGATCACAATTTAGATGAAGTGCCCAAGAGGCTGGGGCTCCAGTCAAATACTTTTTTATAATTGTGTGGGGAATGACCCTAACTCCTGACGTTCTACACAAATGTCATATTTTCCACCACTTGGACACTTCATCTAAATTGATTACTCTTTCACATTTTATATTTATAGTATAAATATCTAACAAATAGTGTTATTCATTTAAAAAAACTTGCCATCAACACAGTTGCATCGAGTATTGCATTTTCTATCCGAAACTAATTAGTAAATTAGGCCAACAATTCATTGAAAAAGTTTTAGAAGGTTAGATTAATGTTTATTTCTTTGCAAGTAACCTTTTTTCCTAGCTAGTACGATGGTAGAGACTTCCATGAAAAAGAATCCCTTAGGCTTCACTCCTACAAACTAAAAAGTGCGATTGCACTTTGGCCAATTGGCCTGTTTGTGAAGGGAACATCAATTTTAATGACCACTTTACCTTTTGTCACTATCAAGTTCAACTTCCTGCTGGACTAATAAAATCCCGATTCGTCTAGCAAATATCGTCAACCACCTTTTATCGTTCTTCTCCTCGATCTTCCTCTTTCCTTTCTTCTTCTTCTTCTACTTCCATATTCGATTCTAAATTTGGGAGCGATTTTTTTTTTCAAGAAACGAAAGCCATGGACTGGTTTTCTTGGCTATCAAACACTGGCCTTGAGCCTTATCTCGTTCGTCACTACGCTTTTACTTTTCTTCACAATGAACTTCAACAAGATGATATAGCTTATTTTAGCCATGAATTGCTACAAAGCATGGGAATTACTGTGGCTAAACATCGGCTCGAAATTCTCAAGCTTGCTATGAAAGAAAAAGTCAGAATACACCCAATGTTATGGTTCATTTTCGCCATTAAGCATACAAAGACATTTCTTGCTAAGCATATTCAGGGTATGGTCCTTCATGAAAATTCAGCTCTTGTACCGAAAAGGAATTACAGTTTGAGATGGAAGATTGCCATGTTGCAGAGGAACAAGAAGTTGAAAGCTACAAAGCCAGAAAGGCAAATGCTGCTAACAAATGGAGATTATGCTGCGGAGTCTGGCCGAAAAATGTTGATGCTCACAAATCGGAGTATCATAGTCGATTCTAAAAGCACCCGCTCGGATCAAAATTTGAACAGAATCGATAAAAATTCGCGTATCAGAAAACGCGCATTGGATTATGGAAAAGTGGACAGTGACAATGGTGAGATTTGGTCGAGTAGTGTCAAAGAAATCATGTGGGATACAATGTTTCAGAATTTGAAGCCAACGTGATAATTAAACAGAATTTCTTTTGTAATGGTAGTAGAAAATCGATTTTTTTGGCCATGTTCTTTAATCAGAATTTCAGCTGTGGGATGTGTATTTAATCCTTATCAGTGCAGTTTCGACTGTTGTAAGCTTCTGTTCTGTTTTCTTTTCAACCCATAAATTACAAGGATACAATATAGGAATATCCATCCTTCAAGCAAAGGCATACAAGAGACAGAGGGACAAAGAGAGCCAAATCAAGAATATAGAATCTGAATTTTGATTGCAAGGGACATGCCGATGCGATTGTAAGGCTAGTGTCTGTTGACCGAAGAATTTCACACGAGTATGAATCGTGACAAGTAATAAAATGGATTTTCAAGTTTGAATATCATTCCCAAAGATACTAAGCTCCCGTTTGGCCCCCATTAGTTTTCATTCTATTACATTTCATCTTTTACTCTCCTATTTTCAACCACACAATCTTCCATAAAATAATATTATACGTAGATCAAAAGTTTTATTTCTTTTTCAACCACCTATTTTTCAAAAAAACACTATTCTACCCATTTTCATCTCCACAAAATGGGGGCCAAATGGGGGCTAAGTATTTATTGTCAATTTTTATGCTAATCTAGCTTCAATCTAAATTAATATGGTGACTAATTTATCAAATCAAGATTTAAAATTTCAACTAAATTATACTAAGCTAATCTAAACTAATCTAACTAATCCAATTTCTAGAGAGCCTCTGAAATTAAGTAATTAGGAATTTCAATTTCACTTAAACTATATAATATTCAATCAGTCGAATATCATTCAAGAGCTTTTCATAGGTATATAATAACAATCGAATTAAACAATTTAGCTTGTAATCTCTCGAGCAAAACTAACCATTTTCATATGCCTAAGTTTATTATATCTCTATGTAAATTCATATGAATGTAAAAGCATTCAATTGAAGGAATTCTATCCGTTTAGTCAGGACCACTCAATTCTGGAGAAATTTGCAACAAAGCACCCAAGATGCAAGATGACTCAGTTGATTTGATCAACTATGATTTTTATGATCATGAAATATAAGGCATATAGAGCCATAGCAGAGGCACAACCATGTGCATAAAAGAGAAGTCTCTAATGCAGAGTAAAAGAGCCCGTAGACCCCTTTGATCGTGACATAACTATCGTACAATTATGGTAAACAAGATAAATCCTAGAGAATCGCGTAGAGGTTCTTGCCCGTACTTGACAATAGGAGAGTTACATGGTAAAATATTGTAGGTACCATCGCTCTAACAACTATGATACCATTGAATGTAGAGTCTAAAGGTGACAATGGAAGATATCATTGTGAAGAAGACAAGGTAGCCATGCACAGGGGTCGTTATGCTTTACCATCAATGAGAACGTACCATACAACCTCAGAACCAACAACCTCTGTGAATCCACCCCTTCAAGAGATCTCCAGTGTCAAAATCCAAGCGGTTTAGGAGTGCGTGTGGTTGGAGGTGTTGGAAGCAGAAGCAGAATTACTCAAAAATTTAAAAACTTACTTTAATTCAGTAAATAAGATTATCTAGATGTTCATGTGTATATTATGTCAAGAATAAATTATTCGAATTTTTATTTAAATTCGATGGTTAATTCTTAAATTACTTTTGAATCATGAACTTTCAATTTTTTGTAATATGAGTTTCTAGCTTTTAATTACAAGAATTTGATGCTTCAAACCTCCAAATCTCCTATATTATTTTGTAAAGTCAAGATTACACCGATGGATAGACACCATCTGTTCAATTAAATCAAGAAACTAATTCTTACACTGAACATATGAATAAAAGTAAGGAAATAATTATTTTCTCTCTTTTCTCTCTTCAAATTTGTATGCAATGGAATTATGTATTATAATTGCTGAATGATTTCTAGGTTCTATCTAATATCTATTTATAGAAATACGATAGTTTCAATTCTCGTACAATAATAATTTCACATTCAAATAGGAGTTTTAATTAAAGTTTACATCCAATTAGTTTACATTTAATTACATGTGTAGTTTTAGAACTTTAATTAAAATTATAAATAAATTTACAACTTTCATAGTAATTATAATTGAGTACAAAAAGTCCAAAACTATTATAATTACTGTAATTAAGTCTCAATACTTTATAGAGCTGTCACGGGAACCTGATCGAAAGTATATTATCCGATCTCTAACAATTAGAGCATATTGAGTCGACCCTAAACAATCCAATTTAATTATTATACTTTTTTTTTAACTAAAGATAAAAGACTGAACTCTTGGAATATATAAGATCAAAAGCTAATAAATCTATAATTATTTCCTCTAACTTGCCATATATGTATTTTATTCCCATCCGAGATCCAATAATTAGGTACGAGTATAAATAATCGTTTTGTCCTTCTAATTATTCTCATTAACTTAAGTATAATTTTTTCTTCAACTGTCCTGTGAACTATTAGCAGATGTCGAAGTTTAGTCATCTCTAAACACTAGACTCAGATTTAACCGTTAAAAAAAGTTTATTTAAGTAATCACTCTACCAATTTTTTAGGGTGACGGTTTCTGACACAAATTCATATTCTCTACTTCGTTTATTTTCAAGTTTCCTACTTTTTGACATATTTGACCAATCAAATTGATATTATCCATTGATGAATCAAAGAACTATTAAAATCACAAAAAGATATACATAATTGTCAAGAGATTTAGATAAAATACATATCGATCAAATATTATTTAATTCTCCGCATGGTCATGCTATAGAAGTAAACTTGACACTTGTTCGTTCAATACACTTCAACCATACTTATGTCATCTTTAACTATTTATGTGATAAGGACAAATAATAAAACTAAATAGTGAATCGATCAACACTATAACCTTGAGGTACAAGATACCGACACTTGTAATTGGTTGTGAACAAGTTATTTATGATTAAAATACAAATTATGTCACTCTATATTTATCAATGTAAGTACCCAATTTATATTATCACAAGTGATCATATGCACTTTAATTCGCATGCTCAGTAATAAATAAATGCAACAAATAAATAAAATAATAATTTATAAATTACTATTTTATAATAACAAAATACTATATGGGTACACGACCCAACAAATTGATCCATGCAATTGCCCCCAATAGATTATTTATGCTGATTTTTGAGGCAAAATACCTTTTGGAAGAGGTGAAAATTCCTGCACCCTAAGCCCATTTATTTTTTAAGGTAAAAAAATAAAGTTGTGATTTTTTCCCCCTTGTATCAATCCAATAGGAAATTTCTTTTTGCTCCCCTGGCTCCATCCCTGATCTAAAAAAGAAAAGGGTTTTATGGATTTAATTGTGAGCTTTCCTAATTCTTGATTTACTGAGTTCTTGTTTGATAAAGTTTTTGATAAAAGTTTCAACAGAGTGCAATAAAAGTTGAAAGAATATATAATTGAAAAGTTGATAAAAGTTATGGACCTAAAAAAAAGTGAGGTAAAATTATAATTTGATCAGTTAAAATTTTTAATAGAGAATTAGCAAAATTTTATCAAAGAAGCACAATTTCATCTTGAAATAGAACAAAAATAATTGAGACCTATTCCTCGCATATCCTTTAAAAGACTAGA